TGCGATTAATTAATATGTGTCATCTATTTATTTTGCAATTTCGGCGGGGGACATCAGCCTCACTGTTGGCTTGTTAATATATACCTGGATATCAGAAATATATCATTACCTTGACTAAGTTCGATGGTGAGAATTTTCTGCTTAGACTAAGGTGCGATAAGCAGTTTGATTGGTCAAGACTTTGGAACATAACAACTCTGCTTTTAATTGAGGTAGAATGCTGAAACTTGAGGTAAATGTTCATTAGGTGAATGTCTTGACTGAGTTCAATGATTAACATTTCGAGCTAAAGCTAAGCAGAGCTAAGCAATTTCATTGGTCGGTGCTTTGGGACAAGATAACTTTGGTTCTATCTGATAGAGAGTGATGAAACTTAGTGTATAGTTGATAATCAATTTGCTTGCTCGATACTTTTGAAAAAATTAATGTGCGATTTATTAATATGTGTCATCTTTTTATTTTGGGATTTCGACGGGGGACATCAGTCTCACTGTTGGCTTGTTAATCCTCAATTTAGGTGAAAAATATTGGTTTTAAGGATTAGAATTACAGTTTTTTTCCAAAATGGCATTGCTTCCCGTAGAAATTAAGTAAAATTAAATGGGTGGAAGAAGTAATTGCATTTGGCTACTTATATGCAACTTCTTTGGCTACCTATGTGCCACTTCTTATTTGAAGACTTCATGCGATTTTGTTTATACGTTCATATTACTAATACAACTATTTTGTTTGCAATCTATTATAAATTATAATATGGGTATGGGGCAGATAAGGTTTCTGTAATACTACCCCAATGCAACACAGTGATAATACAAATACGCCATTTTTAAGAATTGTTTCTAACAAAATTCAAATCATGAGATAAACAGAGAGAGAAATGGAGTCCACTCGACACAAACTAGGTAATTTCGGGACTAACATATGGTTTAATTTTATTTCACTAATTCGCTTGCGCATAGCGGTCTTTAGCAGTGGGAGGAAATCGGAGGACACGGAGTAAACCCACGAGGTTGGACAGGCGACCATACTCCTTGTCACGTACAACCGGGGATTCGAAACCACGCCAGTCGACTCAATGACAGACTTTATGATACAGCCCGCGCACGCTAACCATTCAGCCATCCAACCCCCCAGATAAACAGAAAAGGGGTGAATATCATAGTTTATTTACTGTGTCAATTAGGTAGCAGACATTGCTTGAACCAGCTGTTTTTGGGGTGTTTCAAATTAGTGTCAATATGAATATGGCATGGGATTTAGCGTCCTATTGTTCTGCAAGTGGGGTTCACGGTGGGTAAGACGCTGGCTCGCTAGCCTGGAGGTCGGATGTTCGATCCCTGCATTGGCCGAGAAGAAAGTTCATCCAGGTTTTCCAGCGTGGTTTCCCCTTTTCAGTGATGCAGGACGGAGGGCCTGACAAGGACAGCCGTCCGGATGGGACGAGATCCCGTGTACACATTGCCGTGCACGTAAAAGATCCCTTGACAGCTGGAATTCGATATTGGAGTAGGCCGTAGTGGCGCTGCCCTGGCCAAATTTCCCTCATAGCACACTGTATGGCGTTGGGTAAATTCCGCCGGCTTTCTTTGCTGAACGCCTGTTATATAAAAAGTCCAGTTTTACTAAAATGGTGTTCGCTAATTTGGTAGAATTGATTTGTTGAAATAAGTTCACTCAATTACAAATATACTTTACAATAAAAGTAGAGGATATTGAAATGCAAATACCTATGTCGGTTGCGATATGATAAATATTCATAAACATTTGACATGCTTTGAGAGTATGTTCACAGATGAAGAACTTGTCGCTCCAACAGAACTGAATTATCAGTGAAATGAAATTCGATCGTTTGTCTGTTACCGCTCGTTAATTCAGTCTGTTACATAGAAAGACAACTCGTGTTTGTCATGTTTGACATCATTTCCCATTTCTTCACGTGCCTGTTTCTCAGCTATCGTAGCAATGATCTCTGTGTTAAAATTATATTTGGGATGTATTTAACGAACTCTATCACATATTTTAGAATGACTGACACCAATATTGTCCTTTAAGACAAAAATCAAAAACGTCTATTTTCACTTTTGACGGGTACCTCTCTGCGAGTGAAATGGGGCCGTCAGATAAGCCGCCCATGTGAACTGTTTATGTTCATGTGTAGGCAATTGGCCTGTTATTAACATACACTGGTTACCTCTAATAAAAACAGCAGTGCATTTCCGCAGTTTTGTATTGTTTATGAATATCCCCTACTTTTTTGAAGAGTATATATCATAATGAAAAATTTAAAATAATTATTTCAATTGTCTATTGAATAAATCCCATCCGTATATGGTGAAGACCAAGCACCCAGACAACGCCATAATCGAAAATAGATTGTTGGACCTGAAAAGACGACTCACACAATAAGAGTTGGGTGTGGTGGAGTATGCGGATGCCGCTTCGTACTATTTTTCTCACATAGGGGGGTTCGATGCCTGAAAGGTTAGCACGTGTGCACTGTATCATAAAGTCTGTCATTGAGTCAACTGACGTGGTTTCGATTCCCAGGTTGTACGTGATAAGGAGTACGGTCGCCTGTCCAACCTTGTGGGTTTTCTCCGGGTCCTCCGGTTTCCTCCCACTGCTAAAGACCCCTACCCGCAAGCGAATTATTGAAATAAAATTAAACCATATGTTAGTCCCGAAATGACCTAGTTTGTGTCGAGTGGACGTTAAACCCCTTCTCTCTCTCTCTCTCTCTCTCTCTCTCTCTCTCTCTCTAGTTAATGTAGCATTACCGACAATCAAATGATTTTTATTTTATACAGTACCATACAGTATGTACCAATGTAGAGTATCGGTTAGCTTTTATTTATTTTATACTACAAGTGCCAATATCCAAAGGAGATAATTCTCGATTTGTGGCGGAATCGGTCTCATCCAGGAGACGTCGTAGCATTAATTTCCTAAGTATCTTCTTTTTGACCGGCTCTAATTTTTCTCCAAATTTATGTGGGGTTGAACTTCTTTCTACCACAGATGGTGCAACATGTGACAACTCCTAGCTCAAAAGCATGTATGAGGTTCTCCACGGAAATCTTGAGATACACAAGCTGGAAGTAGAATAGTAATAAAGATGCAACTGTCAACAGAAGAACATTGCAATGAAACTAACCTGTTAACATCGAAAAGTCAAAAAAACCTATTGAAGATAGAAGGCATACTGCAGAGTGCTATGACAATTAGACACTACTTTGCCAGGCCTCTTGTTCTGCACTACCGACATGGAGAAACCACGCTGCAAAATCACGGGGAACTTTCTTGACTAACATCAGGATCAGATATGGCCGATAGCCCGACAACACACCCCGATAAACCCATCACGGCAACCAGACATCACGATGCCACGACAACCTGACATCACAACACCACGACAACCCGACATCACGACATTTTACCCGACATCACGACATTTTAACCCGACAATACATTTTTACGCGACAGTACGAGATTTTTAATGTTGAGGTGTCGGGTGAAAATGTCTTATTGTCGGGTTTAAATGTCGTTGTGTCGGGTTAAAATGTCGTGATATCGGGTTGTCGCCTTATGAAGGGCGACATCAAGACATGATACCAATCAGCAACCACAGCTCATTGTAATGGATCGAGTGAAAATATCTAAAACAAAATGGAATATAAATTCACCGTTGCCAGCCCATACATTATCACCATTTCCACAAACCATAATTATTTCCTAAAAAAAAACAACTAAAAGCTATAGTTTCTACAAGTTTATATCTATACAAAGTGTCTTTCTGCAGAGAAATCATTGTGTCGGAAGAGAGATTTTGACCCCAGTCAACATCAAATCCCCGTAGCAAAAACAAAATCTAAATATTTCAAACCATCTGAATGGGGGTGCTTGATTTAGAGCAAGATATGACTATATGTTGTTACTTCAGTAGTGGTGATCTTTCATCTCAACGTAAATTTAAGTAAAGTTTTAGTGGTCTGCACCCGCTTTATGTTTGTGGATTGTCTCCCTTGTGTGTCTGCACAGCGCACGTACGTACGACAATTATATGGTAGGGTAACCGCTCAACGCCAACCCACTTAATTTGATAGTAGACCAGTCAGTTAAAGATTTTAGCACCCAAAATTGCAACAAAAAAAAAACCAAAATAAACAGACAAACAAAAAAAAAACACAGGTGTTTTTATGCATTTTTGAGCTTATTTAAGCGTACTTTATACCATCCCAAATATTAACAATTTATGATAAAAAGAAAAATTATAAAAAATAGTAAAAACAGTAAAAGAAAAGGCAATGTAAAATTATATAAAAAAAATTAACTACACATAAAACAGTAAAATGTATAAAATCAGTAAAAAGCCTGTTTGAATAAATTTTTCAAATGTGATTTTAATGTAATAACAGAAGGTGATTTCCGAATAAAACAAAGGTAATCTTTCCGAAAATAACGGTGCATAAACTGAAAAGGCCCTGTTGTACTAAGAGTAAATCACCACTAGAAGAGATATTTGTATTAATTTGGACAAACATGGAGTGGCTAAACCATTAAAACATTCGTATGTGATTAACAATATTTTAAAATCAATTCTGAATGATACAGGAGGCCAATGAGGACTATAAAGAATTGGGGTTATGTACTCGTGATAACCCGCAGGTTTGAATGTAGCTTAACCGGTAGACCATTTGAAATTACAGATAAATATTTACATTTACATTATAATGGCAATTCTTACAAAATATTATTTACATGATTTTCCATAATAAAATGTGAGTCAAAGAAGGCGCCTATGTTTATGATGGGGGATATCACAGCTTACATACACGAATTGAAGGATCGGAGTCGAATTTACTAAGCACACTTTTTAGAACCAATTCATAGATATTCAGTTTTATCTTAAGAAAATCTGAAGTCATCCAAAGTTTAATGTCATCGATGCACTGTTATGATTTAGAAAATTAATATGAAATGATTGTGAACATAGGGTTTGAATTAGTATCGTCAGCGTATAATTGGAAATACAGCTCATGTGTACGTACTATATCACCTGAGTGCATAAATGGAAAATATTGATATGCATTTCATTATCATCTTTATTATGATCAAACATAAAAGGGCATTGCAATGTAATAATAGGGTGTCTAACACAGGGGAACACCTAAATTAATACACACAAAAAAAGTACAAAAAGTAACAATTTATTATTATATACATGATGAGGGAAATTCCCACCTTATTGCCCACTATAAACACGGTAATCATGTTTTCATTTTTCATAAAACTGCTTCATCAATACTGATCTGAAATTATGAAAACCAGATTGATTTAGAGTCATGGAATGTAGGGGGAACAGCCACATATAATTAAACATTATATACACAGTGAAATTAGTTTTGTCTATTGGTTTCATCAATGTTGGTCTCAAATTATGCAAACAAGTTACGGTTAGTCCCCTGGAATGTTAGAAAAGTGCTTAAATATCTGTAGGCTTCACACATTTATCTTTGAGTAGCCACTGATTTATGTCTGGATAACTGTGTCTATTTTGATCTAAATTGTGAAGCTTTTTACACATAGTGCAATAACCCTTCTGTCTTACCGAATACATACTGCGTGTGTAAAGATGTTCCTTCGCTTTCAAGTATTGTACATAAGCAGTATTGTTTCTGTCTAAATACTGCAAATATTTACCGAGCTCTTCAACTGATTTAAAATCTCTCGTATCTATGTAAGATGCTTTTGGATAAAACTGAGTGTAATTCCCAATTCCACGCACTATGGGCACGATATCTAGATTTTGACGATCGAATAGTTTCTCGGTAATATAATCCTTACAAAGGGAATTTTCGAATGACAAATAGAATTTGTACGTTGTGTTTAAAAGTTCAAATACATCAGTAGGTTTAGACGTTCCACATCTACCAAAAATATCAACAGGCACAACTTTTTCCAGGTGTTTGACATAAGCTTCCCTTTTACTTTGGGTTCTGCAATGACTAACTACCCATGCAATTAATTTAGTTTTCTTCTTCATTATGACATCATAATTCCGTATTTTACGTTTATCCTCCACCACTTCTCCACCAGGTGTAGGTATGTCAGAGTCTATCCGATACGTCATAGTCCAATTTATTTTATTTGTCCAAACTTCGTTTTCCCAGGAAGCACCATACATGTAAATTGGCGATTCCCATGCAGCAAGAATCCACACTTGGTCTGGATTATTCCGTGCTGGCGGCGGTTTCGACGGATAACTTACTCCGTAAAACATTATAGCGGCGCTGGATTTGATCTCTTTTTCATCAAAAGACAATTCGCACATTTTATATTCACAACGACTAAAGTAACCGTGTCCCGGATTGGCACCGCGGAGAAACCACATATGCCTATTTAACACAACTATTGTCTTGTATTTGTGTTTGATTACTTTCGTGTTAGACAATGGTTTCTTTGAAATACTACCTTTATGCTCCTTAATGTCATTCGAAAGGTTAGGGACCCTATTTTGTGACAAATCGCTGATATTATCACCTTGGTCGTTACTTGGGCCTACTTTGTTGGTTATTGGTAAAGATGGGGTATCTAGGCGGAATTTTCGTAACCAGTCATTCCGAGTCTGTGTTTCTAACCGTACAGGTATCTTCTTATCCTTTGGTACTGCCCCCCTTGCTTTAGTTTCAGTCTCGGGCCTGTTTTGCAGATTTGCGAGCCAGATGTCAGTGTCCGATTGTGAGGATACCAGGTAGTCGTGTTCGGCTGTGTCATGTCCATTGTTATGGATTTGAATCCAGACCACTTTCCCAACTATTTGCATATGTATTAACATAGCCACTATTAGGACGAGAGTTATTACTTCAATATAACACAAAAGCTTCTTTAGTTTCGCCATCTGTTTGAAATAAAAACAAAGGCAGGATTAATAAATGACAGTATCAGAATCTGATGCACAAGTTCACAAAACGGATTACACTTTTAATTTCAAGATTTAACCCGGTCGCCGAATGAATTTATTCTGTTTTGCTATATATATTTCCTAAAAAAATATATATTATTCCGATGAGACAAACACTTCAATTGCATCAACAGTTTTGTTCCGTTGGAACATAATTTTTCTATTGACCGCTTAATGGATTCGTTCGCGAGAGCACAAGGTAAAAGTTACTAAGGATTCATCATTAGATTTAGACCGAATTTGGTACATAGGTGGGGGTAGTAACCGAAAAGACGTTTTCCTAGTGCGAATCGTGATAGTGGGACCTATCATTAAAACGGTTGTAATAACATCTTCTATTTCTATCGAAACACCTCATATAACAACTTTATCCCACAACGGAATTATCAGTGAGTGGAAATTTGCCTGTGTATCTGTTATCTCTCGTTACTTAAAGGAGCTAAATCGCTAACATTTGGGACCTAGAAATTGACAAAAGTGGGTCGCAACGCATATAATACTGTAATATGAATGTATATAAACTGATTTACATTCAATGGTTTCCGTTTTTACTCCAATTTCAAATCAGTTATGTTCGGCGAAATAAGCCAGCAGTCTCAAGCGAGTGCAAATTTCTAGCGTCTGGTTATTCCAGTCTACATACGCCGTTTGATTAGGTGCAATGTGTCTAGCCTCGTTCCTCGAGTCTCTTGATACAACTGGGGCTGAAGCGCATTATGGTACACGATTCGTGTACCAATGGTAAAATGTTTATTTTGTCTTAAATATTGGATATCAAAAGTCCATCTTTTCCCGGTAAGATCACAACATGAATGTTGATTTAATTTGACAAATAAATCGTGTTTTCAATGTTGAAGATTTTGGATGATATTGAGTTAGAGACTTAGCTACTTTAAGTCAGTTATATAGATCGATAACACGTGTTTTCCTTTGTTTTCTCACCTCCTTTTCTTGAAATATTCGTTACGCATCTATATTAGCAATGATCTATGTGTTAAAATTATATTTGGAACGTGTTTTAACCAGTTCTTTCACATGAGATAATGGCTGACATCAGTATTGACCTTTAAAGGGACCATCCCGATTTTAAAAGTCTCAGAAATTAAAGTCCGTGTACGTATGGTGTACGTATGGTGTATTTACACACTGAAAAAAAACTTGTGTTGAAACAACACAAACTTGTGTTGTTTTCAACACAAGTTAGGTGTCTCTATTTAACAACACAAACTTGTGTTGAAACAACACAAACTTGTGTTAAATGTTGAAACAACACAAGACTTGTGTTAAAATTTACCAAACAACACAAACTTGTGTTGAAACTTGTGTGAAAATCTACACAATACTTGTGTCGAAACTTGTGTTGAAATTTCTGAAACTTGTGTTGAAATTTCTGAAACTTGTGTTGAAATTTCTGAAACTTGTGTGGTTTCATAAAAACTTGTGTATAACCACCAACAAAAACTTGTGTTTTATTTTCCCTCAATTTAGCAATCTTTCCCATGCAGCCCCCCACCCCTTTTGCTCTGTTTAACCTGTAAAGTTTGATAAATGAGGTAACAATAATTTTATTTGTTAAATTATCATTTATTCATAAAATGATAGGAAAAAGTAAATTAACACCACCAAATCAAAACTAAATAGACATCATTTGAAATGTTAACAGAAAAACAGAGATATAATTCTAATACTAATAAAAAATTTGTTATACTTTGCCCCCCTCCCCCCCCCCCCCCACATCACAAAATACAAAATAGCTATATAATTTTTTCTTTACCCGAAAACAAGAACTGAGAAAAGAAAGATCCCTACCCCATATATCTAAATTTAATAACATCCAAACCAAGCCCTAATTAGATTAATTATGCACTAAATTGAAATACTTTCAGAAACTGAAAAATGCTACAAAGTCATATTACAAGTGATTTGTGAGGCATCTAGAAATAACTAGCATACACAGAAAACTAACAAAAGAAAAATGCACTCTTTTGCAGGAGTAATAAAATGATGTAGAACCTTTTCCTCAAACAAAATGAATATTTTGTACATAAAAGGAGCAAAGCATCAAGATTACAGGATTGAAAAATAAAAATATATCAGAGAAAATCGCAAACATTAAATAATATGTACAAAATATATATAAATAATCACAAGTCAAAAGCAAGGAGGAGCCACTGTGGTTCAACTGGATTTTCCGACATAGTTCCCACACGTCAGTAGTGTAGGACATGGCAAGGGATAATTGGGTATAAGCCCAGAATTGAAACTACCCCCACTGCGTTTACTTTAAAGAACCCTTGACAATTGAATTATCTGACTCAATGACAGACCCTTCTGATCCAATGTGCGTGTGTTAACCATTCGGCCCTCCTGGGTTCCCTTTAAACAACCCTTGACAGTTGAAATATTTGATATAAGAGTAGGTTGTAGGGCAGAATCACCATAATAACACAGAAAAGTAGGATATTAAACCCTATTTCATTTCATAAGCAAGGGAAAGTCACCTTAATGTAGGTCAAGGTTTTTTGTAATTCTGGGTATATTTGATCTACATTTGGTTTCTAGACTATGCCTATTAAATACTTTATGATTTCCGACCAAATTCTAAGTGATTTATATGTCACTTTACATTCTATATTATACATAAATTTATGTAGAGAATTAAAATCTAATTGTGTTTGGGATGAATATTTAACAGTAAAAACAAAAAAAAATATTCAAAAATTGGGTCAAATGCATTCTTTTCCAGAATTATTAAATAAATTGATGCTTGGGATCTCTTGTTGTTATCATACATCAAATAATCTTCCAACCTAAAAAATAAAAAGTAGGCAATAAGAATACTTTCTTACTATTTATGGTTCACAATGTTTAAATAAACAATTTATTTTGCCACATCGAGACTGAGTCTCTATTTTGTTTCATCTTTGGGTAACACTTATTGTGTCTTGTCCAGTAACAGACCCAGGCAGATTATTATATTTTATTTCCATCGACAACAAATTGGATATTACCTATTAAAATCTATTTGAAAAGTAAAATATTGTCCATTTTTATACTGCTATTTACTGTAAAAATACACATAGGGTCTATCACAACTTGAAGAAAATCAATGGATGTGATTGTCAAAAATCAAGAATGCCAAGACTTGAATAGGAGAGTCCTAGGCATTGATTACCAATCAAGTGTATAGAACTAGTTGATGATTAAAAATACAAATATGTATGTTACTTACATTTTACCTGATTATCAAGCTCTGTGAGAAAAAGTTTCCATAATATGAATAGCCATTTCCAACTGTCTTGATCTTTCTGATGTAGTTAACTGAGAAAAAAAACATACTATGTTTTAGTTGACTTAAATCGATTCAATATTTAAATAGACGAAAGTTTTAATTTAATTAAATTGTATTGTAATGTGTTGGTTTGCTTTGTCACAGATGAGACAAAATGAAAAAAATGAAATGAAATGGGGTTTGGCGTCCTACTGTTCAGCTTCGACTGGGCTAATGAGGTTGGGCATATGCCATACAGTGTGCCACGAGAGAAATTTTGCCGGGTACCGTGACCCTAAGGCCTACTCTTGTATCAAATTCTAACTGCCAGGGGCTCTTTTACATGCACGACTAGACAGCTGTCCTTGTAAGGCCCCCCGTACTGCATCGTCTTACTGCAAACCCGCGACCTTAAAATATGCAAACCAGTGTCTAACCCACTTGGTCACCATGGGTCCCCACAGATGAGATAGTCATATCTACATGTATCTGGACATAAGTAAGATTCTGTCTGTGCACATAGATTGAACAAAAAAACGTGGTCCCGTGTACACATTGGTGTGCATGTAAAAGATCCCCTGGCAGTTAGAATTTGATACAAGAGAAGGCCTTAAGGTCACGGTACCCGGCAAAATTTCTCTCGTAGCACACTGTATGGCATATGCCCAACTTCATTAGCCCAATCCTCCGTACTGCAATGTCTTACTGCAAACCCGCGACCTTAAAATATGCGAGCCAGTGTCTAACCCACTTGGCCACCGTGGTCCCCCACAGATGAGACAGTCATATCTACATGTATCTGGACATAAGTAAGATTCTGTTTGTGTACATACATGTACGTGTACAAATTTACTATACTAAACTGAATTTTAAATTTCAAAACAATGAAATGAAATGGAGGTTTATGTCACATCAGCTCCAACCGGGATATATTGTGCCAAACACATTATGGTGAGATTCTAAAATACCATAACAACAATATTTTCTATTAGAATTGAACACTCACCCTCCAAAAACACCTATGAGAAAGCATAGGTGCTCAAATCACCATTTCTTCAGCTCTTTCTTTTTCCATATTTGGGTTTTTTGACTTATTTTATTATATGATCTTTGATTTGCTATGGCATCTAATATGGAAACTGAAAAATATGAATATGTGACATGTAATAAACTGTTTAAGATACCTTACCATATACAAACTGTGTGATATCTAAAACCATTTGAATCCCGAAGATCTTACCCAAGCCTTGAAAATCTGTTTTAATAACCCTTGATTGTCATGTGACTGGACTGTCACAGTAATTAGAAGAGAGTCATGTGGCTTAGTGTGTAAGGCACTGGCTTGGTACCCGGGAGGTTGCGGGTTCGCTCCCAGTGTTGACCGAGAAAGCTCATTTGAATTTTTCAGCATGGATTCCATGCCTAGTCGTCATGGTGGCTAAGTGGGTAAGACGCTGGCTCGCTAGCCTGGAGGTCGGGTGTTCGATCCCTGCATTGGCCGAGAAAGTTCACCCAGATTTCCCGGCGTGGTTCCCCCTTGTCAGTGATGCAGGACGGAGGGCCTGACAAGGACAGCTGTCTAGTCATTCGGATGAAATAAAAAAAACGAGGTCCCGTGTACACGTTGGCGTGCACGTAAAAGATCCCTTGACAGTTGGAATTCGATACACCGCAGTGCCGCTGTCCGGGCAAAATTTCCCTCATAGCACACTGTGTGGTGTATGCCTGTCTTCATTAGCCCAGTTCGGAGCAAAACAGTAGGACGTTAAACCCCATTTCATTTCATTTCTAGTCGTTTCAATGGAACACAAAACCTGAGGTCCCATTGGCGTGCATTTAAGCCGATAGTATGGTAGTTGGAATTTGTTGGCTGTAGCACCCGTGTCACAGTTCGACTGCTAGTTTGCGATACCCACTCGATATGAATGAGTGGTGATTGGCTAATGAATTCTAAAATCAGACGAATGCTTCGGCGAAGCGGACACACCACTCAAATACAATTCGGCCAAATATATCAAACATGTTTGATTCGGGCGTATGTCAGTGGATAAACTAGGTGAAGTTTAGCGCCAATTGATTCAGCCAAATCCTTTGGCTAGTTTATCCAGCACTGACGATTTAAGTTTGTACTTTCTTTATATGCAAATATCACATTTGAAAGAGGCTGTGAGCCTTCTTTCTTTATATGCAATTATCTTATTTGAAATAGGCCATTATTATGTGATTCCCCACTTCAATGTGACTAGGAATAGGGTCGCCTGTCCAGCCTTGTGGGTTTTCTCCGGGTCCTCCGGTTTCCTCCCTTTCCTAAATACCCCTAGGGTGTATTCGAAACAGTGTTCCGGTGCAGAGAACGTTCACGAACACATTCCCGTTCTCAAATCCCACACTACTTCATAGCTGGTGTGAGGGAGAACAAACATGGTCGACGTATCGATAACTGCTGAGAAAACAGCATCATGGGTGCATTTATTAATTTAAAAGTTTAATACCGTTCGAAAATTAGATGTAGTGTGTGGCCAGTATAACATCAAGTAAGTTAGGTTGCCAGGCAACGAAACATATGCCCACAGCAGTTTAATCGTTTGCGCAGTCAACAGGGATTGTCGCATATTCATTCTTTTGTAGGTAATGTGGGCATTTACAAGAAAATTTCATACAAGATTATAATTTTCGTCGTTTGTGGGTTTACAAAGGTCGACGCATCGATAACTGCTGAGAAAACAGCATCATGGGTGCATTTATTAATTTAGAAATTTAATACCGTTCGAAAATTGGATGTAGTATGTGGCCAGTATAACATGAAGTAAGTTAGGTTGCCAGGCAACGAAACATATGCCCACAGCAGTTTAATCGTTTGCGCAGTCAACAGGGATTGTCGCATATTCATTCTTTTGTAGGTAATTTGGGCATTTACAAGAAAATTTCATACAAGATTATAATTTTTGTCGTTTGTGGGTTTACAAAGGTTCTACAAACTGAAACAAGGGCCTTAATTGTTGAAATTTGACAGATTTTTTGGTTTTGTGTTTTACTAATTTAAATAATGCATACAATTTTCATACAAATCGGATGATAATTTTGTTGTTCGTGCGTTCACAAGGTTCGAAAAAGTGAAACAAGGGCCACAACTCTAGACATAAATCGCAGAAATTTAATAGACGTCTTCGTTTCACTAATTTAAAAGATTCAAATGAATTTCACAAAGTGAAACAAGGGCCATAACTCCAGAAGAAACTAACAGAAATTATTGAAATTAAATAGGATTCATCTCATTAAAATAAACAACATATCAATTTTAAAATAATCAGTTCTGTAGACGATGGACAAACCTACAGACGAGAGCGTATCAAAAGGTGATGTAATCGTCATCCAAAGAATTGAAAAGGAGTAAAACGGTGCCATAATTTATCAAAATTATGCTTAATAGCGAAGTAAATACTAAACAAGTTATCGTAACAGATTGTATGAATTTAATTCATCTTGTTACCATGGATACCGTTCTCTCATGTTCGAGACTCATGAAAGTGTTTTCATGTTCTTCAGCCGTTCTCGAACCTGCGCAAACACTGTTTCTAATACACTTCTACGGTACGCGCAAGCAAATCATTCAAATAAAATTGAACAATATTAGCCTCGAAATTACCTAGCGCCAGTAAGTATAAAGGATCTATCCGACAAACACTAACAACAACTCTAGGTTGATTACATGTCATTTGGGACTCACATCATTTGGGACTCGCGTCATTTGGGACTCAAAAAAATATGACCACGACATTTGGGACTCCGGTATACGTCGTTTGGGTCTCGGGTTAACGACGTTTGGGACTCGGGATAATTTATTAGAAATAGGCCAATTCAAACAAAACACGAAAGAAAATATTTATAAACATGAAACATTAGTTGCACTTACGGTTCTTTGATAATCATCGTTTCTCATAAAAGTTTTATATTTATTTAAAACGAATAATATGCTGATGAATTTATTTGAAAATGACCTACACAAAAAACAAAATAAATATTTACACGACATGCAATCTTTTTTTACAAGCCCCTAGAAATTGTTAACGATAATCCGCGAGCTGCACGTTGACATGCTTGTCGTAGATGGCAATACCAATTGATAAATTAGTGCGTACAAGGCAAAGTTTTTTGTGGAAAATATAAGAAATGGCAACGATCAAAGCAGGATAATTAAAGCTGATTAACTGATAATCCCAATGTTATTACAGTATGTTCAAAGAAACCTAACGGTTCTTTGGTGGATGAGGAAAAATGTGAGTTGTCAATCATCGAGAATGGCGGCCGTGTGTTATACCGTTTCACGAAAAAACATTAGCAGTGGTCTGTCAATCAAGCTCGTTTACTATTTATAACGCAAATTTTTCGTTTCGGTTAAAACAAAATATACGTCCATTTTAATTGGCCGAAGGATGTGTGACTAATAGAAATATGGCGGGCGGACAAACTGACCAAACAGTATATTTCGAGGTATTTGAGGTAAGCTAATTTAATATTATATCATAACTGCATGTGCATACTTGTGTTTCTGTGTGATTAAATATTCAAAAAATCATTCTTAGGATACAGCCTCGACACCAGTCAGCCCTGAATTGCAATGTTTGTTTTGTGTTCTGGGCGCCATTTTGAAAAAAACTGACATGACCTATATAATACAATCCAGCAATAGTGCAGTCAATTTCCTTTAAAAGGGAATCCGAATTTGTTAATTTTCTGCAATATCACTTCGGTGGTAGCGGACGTTAAATAAAGCTATTTCACGTACAAAGACCTACAATAAAATCCAGGTGAATTGGGAAAAATATTAATGTATTTTCTTATTGAAGAGTAGCTATTTCAATATGTAAATGCCCAGTCATCTTAGACAAATAATAATTCAAACTTCAAATCAGTTGTATTTATTCAAATCATACTATGAATAATTGTATTTTTCCACTTGCATAATAATAAAAACTTGACTTTTATTATTTTATTTCTTCAGGCCAAGAACATGGAAAATTGGTAATTGCCTTGTATCACTGCTAACTATAAGGCACAGGGAGCCTTGGGCAGAAATGATAATAATATGGTTCTCAGATATGTTACTGTGTACAGACTGAACAAAAAATATATATACACTTGCTATTACATGTACATTATATCATTGGCAATAATAAGATCCAATTTTAGTTTTTAGTTACACACTGTTAACCACCAATAGATGAAAATAAATCATAAAATGTATTCAGCTCTACGTAAGACCTAAATAAATAGATACAGTTGGTTTAACTTGAATAGAAGTTTTAATTATCTATGCTGCATATATGCATATATCACCTTGCAGCTGAATCACATTAAATATCTTTTTAGTTGATGTTCAAATCGTCTTACGTATTTGTCAACATCAATGTGACCTTGTTCTATGTCACATTAGCCTATTCACGTTACCACGAATTTACTCACCACACCCTCGCATAGTTATGTATTTATTGTTTCACTTGACTAAAGAAACATTTTGTAGGAATGTATGCTTTTATAGATTGGACACTTGTTTGCAATATCATTGTCGGTGGAAACTGGCACTATACCTAAAGAATGACTGAACAAATAGCGGAGACGGGGTTTCAGCCGGCTGATTTAAATTATTTCTTTAAATACAGTAAAGCTTGAAATATGTCAGTTTTCCCTCTTTATAATGTTTTGTAAATAAGTTTTTATTGTAGTTTCCGTGGCGTATTCCCAATAAGCGTTAGAAACAAAGATATACACCCTTAATCCCGGTGCCGATAAATGTTGGGTTGTGTGGAACATGCTAACAAATCTCAAGTACGATATATGTTTGATTCTGGTTGAGAACAGCATGAGAGCAACATGATTGTTTTCATTGGAGATGAGACGCAAATATTCAAAGGGGTCAGACAAACTCTAAACCAACCGCGTTCCCTTCACTGAGTCCCTTCAAAGGAGGCCCTGTCTGTCTACCTGTGGAATAACATGCATTTGTATCTGTTAAATTTGTGTGGTAGACAGATTGATATTATTTATATAACGTCTTACCCCAAACAAATTGCAAAAGAAACCATGAAGTTTCTGAGAGCGATATTTCGTAATTAGTGTGCTTTAATGGTGGGAGAATAAATAATTAAATTTTTCAAACACAAACTGGTCATATATAAAATAGCATTTTCTGACAAGACCAGCGATAATCTCGTAAGATATGACTTTTACTATGTCTATTAAATGGTTTTCGACGTCTCTTCAAGGTCACCGTCTTGCGCCAAAGTCGTGAAACGCACCGTCGGGGGATTTGTTGGGGCCTGTCTCCCCCAGAAAAATTTCTAGAAATTTCAAGTCGGTCTTGCCTGGCCGTGGTCAGTGGTCGATTTTAATGTAGACATCTGAACTCCAATCAACAAATCAATCAACCAGGCTGTTGTCGTTGCATTCACATGACACCAGACGTGTCACCGATGAAACAAATATGCCTGAAACAAATGTCGCTGTTAGTGCGACCCATTTGTGACAATTTCAAGGTCCCAAATAATAGTCCTTTTTTACTATTAATAGTAATTCAATCAGTAAGTGCTATTTACCTTATAATAGTCGTCTTGGCTTTTACCCGACATTACACAAAACACCAATGGTAACTGTCGGGTGGTCTCTCCAGTCATAATGAAGGCGTGTATGGAAAACAGCTGAGACCATGGCTTGTTCACCACCCGAAAAGTTGCATCCATATACCAAGTTTTTGCGCGTGCGAGTAGTTGCATCTGTCTATCAGTACAAAAAATGTGATGGCACCTTTCCCCAACTTTTACTCTTTTTTGATAAAATCCCGGTGCACTATGATCGATGAAATCTTCGTCAAGCTAAAACAAAATATAAATAAAAAAGTACATTTAAGTACATGTTAATAAATAAATAAAATTGTACATTTAATTACATGTTAATAAATTCTTATATACATGGGTATTTAATTGCATGAGTACTTACGCTTGACGACACGTCAGTGGGATCTTTTGGTCGCAGAGTCTGTCGGGTTCTTTATAGCGACCTTACAAGTGCTGCAATGGGTGGTCTGCTATGAATGGGTTCTTATGCAGAACCGACACTGGATAAAACTCTCTCCGCTATTGAGGAACATGCCTTGGTAAAAACATTTCCTTTGGCTTCATGCTTTGCCTGTAATGATAAGATAAAACATATTAAACTACAAATATATTATTGGTTTATTTATATTTTATTTATTTATTTATATATTAAATTCATTTATTATTATAGAGTTAACTAGGTTAACTAGAGTTAATTATGCAGAATTAATATAACACAACATACACAGATGGCAATAGAATGAGACAGTGTTCAGAAAAAGGGCGGAAGAAGACTACCTGTCCTACTTGATTCTAGGACATATATATAGCATGGACCTACTTGATTCGACCAATTTAATACAAGGAAATGAATGGCATAGTTTGTGTCAAGTGAATTTAGTGAACTTTAAACCCCATTTACTCGCCCTCTCTCTACAGAGATAAATACTTTTCGTGTTACATACAATAACAATTATTGGCCATTATTAAAAGAATATATTAAAAGGAAATGAAATTCTGTTACCTGTTTTTCTTTGTGTAGTACATGCTAACATCAATGACTGGAAAAAAAAATAACGAAACTGAAGAGAAACTAGTGAATCATTGAAAGTCTAATATTAGGCCTACACATTGATGACATTGATATAAAAAAAAGGCTGATTTGTTTGTTGTTGTTTTTTTCTTTTACAGAAATAAGATTACATTTCAACTAAACAACTAACACAAAAGTTAGTATCTAGCTATAGTCCATGTCTGGATATACATTTCTCCTTTTGCCCGAACGTCTATAAAAATCAAAGATGGCGGCCAATAATTGCAACCGGGTATTACTATAAAATCAAGACAGATTCTTACCTGCTGGTCCTAGTCGGGGGTTTCTTGCAATTATAAATATTTGAACAACGGTGTAGCGCCGATTAGCTAATAATAATTAAGCACGATTTCAGAAAAATTAAGACAGATTCATTAGATTGCTGAATTAGCGGAACACTTTTAGAACACATCAAAAAAAAAATTTCTTTGTGGCGCCATTATATAAATAGACTTCCGGTGCAGTCAGTGGCAGTAGTTCTAAATCTGACTGTTTTAACCGAACGAATTATTATATACATAGAAGCAATATATACATGCTAAATTAAATACACGGTTTTATTTTTTGTAAAAATTTACAAACCTGCGGTCTGGTATTCTATGTGACCATTATAATTTTTTTTAAAATATCACGGCTAAAGCACCCTGTTGATGCTAACTTCACTACATCTATCTAACCGAATGTCGCTGATATAATATCAAAGGAAGAATTTGTCGCAATGACTAAAGTATACCCACATAACAATATGATGTTAATTTTACGTTACATTTAGATCATAAGGTCTGTCATTGAGTCAAGTGGTTTGTTTCCACACCCAACTTGAACATGGTTTTTCTCTGGGTCCTCCTACTACTAAAGATTCCTGGTGCGGATGAATTATTCAACTTGAATTGAATCACTTAGTCCCAAAGGACAGTTTATGTCTATTGGATGTTTTACCCCATTGCTCTCTATCTACCCATAACCAGTCAGAATTCTAAATGTATTGCACAGAAAAGTTAAAAATCTAGCAGAATAATATGACAAAATATACTACAAGTATGTATACATATACTTTATTTAAAAGACAAAAATATAATGTTATAAAATACAAAATACACATTTAAATATTAACAGTTTTTATCCACAGCTGTTTGAGAAATGAAGACGGGCATATGCCACACAGTGTGCAGAGCTATGGCGTACTCTTATATAAAATTCCAACTGCCAAGGGATCTTCCACACACACACACTTGAGTTTACACTGTACCTTGTTTTTTTGGTCCCTTCCGTATGACTAGTCAGCCATCCATGTCAGGTCCTCTGTCCGGCATCACTGACAAGGGAAAATGTTCAAGAAAAAGGTCTACATTAGCGCTATGAAAGTGTTGATATGCATATAAGAAAGAAAAAACTGGGATATTGACCAAATTGGGCCAAAACCTATAGCCTCTATCTTATTTGCTCAAGGTATTGATGGAATAGGAGTTAACTTTGGAATGAGTGAAATGAAATGGGGTTTAATGTCCTATTCCGACAGGGCTAATGACATGGAAATATGCTATACAGTGTCCTATTATGGAATTTTATCCAGACAGCGGCGCTAAAGCCTACTCTTATATCGAATTCAAACTGCCAAGGGATCTTTCACGTGCACACCAATGTGTGCACAGGACCTCGGTCATTCGTACCATCCAAACGACTAGACAGCTGTCCCCCCTTGTCAGGCCCTCTGTCCTGCACCTCTGACAAGGGGAGGAAACCAAGTCTGGAAATCACGAAGAACTTTCTCGGCCGACACTGGAATGGAATGTTGTGGAATGCTGAATATTGATAGGTTTCGTCCTCTCATGATTCCAGTGTGTAACACAAATTTGAAAAAGATCAATTAAGAATAAACACAGCATCTATTGCATTTGAAAAAGGGAGAACTAACCAAGGAAGGCAAAGTCCTGAAAAGCTGTATATTGATAATGCTTGTCCTCTCACAATCGGAATGATTCACATTTCACACCCAGTGTACGGACAAACAGGGCCAAAATTGATATGTGGGTGTATAAACAAAGATATATACTACACCAATATTACATGTGTTGCAGAATTGGTTTAACACATTTCAAATATAATTGTACCACGGATATTTGCAATGGTTGATCCATGACAAAAGATTTGAAATATTTTGAAGAGACGCAAATGGTTACGCCATACAGTGTGCTATAAGGGAAATTTTGCCCGGGCAGCAACGCTATGGCCTACTCTTGTATCGAATTCCAACTGCCAGGGGATCTTTTATGTGCATGCCAATGTGTACACTGGACCTTGGGTTTTTTTTTGTCCCATCCAAACGACTAGACAGCTGTCCTCGTCAGGCCCTCCATCCTGCATCACTGACAATGGGAAACCACACCTGAAAATCAGGATGAACTTTCTCGGCCAATGCAGGGATCGAACACCCGACCTCAAGGCTAGCGAGTCAACGTCTTACCCACTTAGCCACATGATCCCCCCTTGGCCTATGTACATGTAGAGATGAATTTTTAGCTACCTTTATATATATATTTCTATTTTTAAAACCCGCGACAAGTATATTTATATCAAGGATGTAACCCTCTATCAGTTAACCCGTCACGGATTGGTTGCATTGGTGAACCGGTTCAAAATATTCGTTTCATATCATACCTGACCTTCAAATCCAGGAATTGTAGCCACAACGGGGATCACGTTGGTTAAGTCGGTAAGACACTGGCTATCTAGTCTGGAGGTCGGGTGTTCGATCCCTGCATTGGCCGAGAAAGTTATTCCAGATTTTCCGGCATGGTTCTCCCTTGTCAGTGATGCAGGACAGAGGGCTAGACAAGACAGCTGTCTAGTCATTAAAATAGGACAAAAAAATGAGGTCCCATGTACACATTGGCGTGCACGTACAAGAGCCCTTGAAGTTAGAATTCGATATAAGAGAAGGCCGTAGTGCCACTGTCCGGGCAAAATTTCCCACATAGCACACTGTATGGCGTATGCCCATCTTCATTAGCCCAGTTCAGAGCAAAACAGTAGGACGTTAAACTTTCATTTCACTAGCCACAGCTCTGTTTTTCTTTCACCAAAGGGGGGGGGGGGGGTGGATGGCTGAATGGTTAGCGTGCGCGCGCTGTATCATAAAGTCTGTCATTGAGTCGACTGGCGTGGTTTCGAATCCCCGGTTGTACGTGGCAAGGAGTAGGGTCGCCTGTCCAACTTCATGGGTTTTCTCCGGGTCCTCCGGTTTCCTCCCACTCCTAAAGACCCCTACGCGCAAGCGAATTATGTAAATAAAAAATTAAACCATATGTTAGTCCCGAAATGACCTAGTTTGTGTCAAGTGGACGGTAAACCCCATTTCTCTCTCTCTCTCTTTCACCAAAGGGGGGGATCAAGTGGCTAAGTGGGTAAGACGCTGGCTCGCTAGCCTGGAGATCGGGTGTTCGATCCCTGTAAGTTCATCCTGATTTTCCGGCGTGGTTTCCCTTGTCAGTGATGCAGGACGGAGGGACTGACAAGGACAGCTGTCTAGTCGTTATGGGACGAAAAACTGAGGTCCCGTGTAGACATTGGCGTGCACGTAAAAGATCCCTTGGCAGTTGGAATTCGATATAAGAGTAGGCCGTAGCCCAGGCAAAATTCCCCTCATAGCACACTGTATGGCATATGCTCGTCTTCATTAGCCCAGGTTAGGAGCAGAACAGTAGGACGTTAAACCCCATTTCATTTCATTTCATTTCTTTCACCAAAGACCACATAAATACTTCATTTAGCACTTGTCATTTGAAACAGTTATAGCCTATGTCTTGTCTGGAAGAGGGGGCATCATCACATTACCATACAGGGTATAAGTCGATGTTGAGTATAAGTCAAATTGCCAAATTTTACATTTTTCCGACCTACATCCATAATTAAGTAGAGGCGGTATATAAGACTAATGTTTTTCAACTCCACGAGTTTCGGGACTGTTATCCTAGTCTAATACCGTGCCGGTGTACGCCGAAGAAAAGTTGGGCCATATAAATAATGAGGGTCTGGGACAGTTGTCAATAACACTTGCATTTATAAACAAACATGAATCGTGATGACGAATTAGGATTCAATAAAAAAAAAAACATAGATATGGCCCATGAAGAGAGAAATTTTACAATAAAAAAAAATTAAGAGTGTTGGATATTGAACTGACAATGCAATCAAATGGACTTTCGGAAATGGCATTCTTATATAAATTTCATGGGCGTCAACATCTTGTTTTAGGACTAGTTACCTTCCTTAGACTTTGTTTATGATAATGTAAAAGACCGGATAATCTAGCCTATGACCGATTATTCTCAAATGTTGACAACGCAACCACACTAATATTCGTAGAATATAGAATATTTTTTTCTAGATGATAGAGACTAATAATATGCCAACATTGAAATGTGTGCATAAATATGGTATATACTTAACTACACCAATATTATACCTATGTCATAGAATTTGTTACACACATTACAAATATAATCTTAATAGAGATCTTTGCTATGGTTGATCTATCAGTAAAAATTGGAAGATTTGTAAGGAACGCAAAAGGTTATTGTTTACTGGCTGCAGCAGGGAGCAATAACAGGAACACAGATGATTTTCAACTCACTGATACAACTCAGTTTAAACTTTAAGCCAAAGAGCTGTTATATAATACTGTGACAGGATATCTGCTCTAAACTAACTAGTCATCAAAGATTTGACTGTCAAAAGTTCAGACAGAAAGTATTTTAGGCCTACAATGCTTGTAAAGCTTTGGCCTACATTCTGATGATATTTGTGCTACCATAGATACATATATATTTATATCATTACATTATGTGACAAGTAGTAGTGTTTGGCAAGTAGTAGTGTTGTCTAACTATCATTATAAAGCCCATATAAATCTTTTTAGAACTTCTTTGTCATTACTGCCACCAAGGGTGCTCAAATATACATGTAGGATCTGTAAAAAAAATAAATAAATAAAAAGCAACTTTATACTCCCAAAAAAAAACGTAATTGGGTTAAACGGCCTACTGTTCAGCTCCAACTGGGCTGACAGCCAACCTACTGTGGATCTGTAATGAAATGGGATTCAACATCATACTGTTCTGCTCAAACTGGGCTAAAGAAGTTGGACAAATGCTTGAAAGTGTGCTGTGATGGAAATTTTGACTGGACCGTGTGTACAAAAGAGCTTGGTTTTTTGTCCTATCCGAACAACTGTACATTAGCCCTTACCAGCCCCTCTGTCTTGCACCAGTTAAAAGAGGAACCATGCCAGAAAATCCTGATGAACTTTCTTGGCCACCACAAGAAAAAATAAGCAGGGGAGTAGGACTGAAACCTTTATGTACAAGTATGTACGGGCAAACTTGTTATTTAATGTTATAGGCCTATGTATATAATTAGAGTCTTGATTATCCATTTTTCAATTAAATTAAATCATTAACATTAACCGCCAGTGTTTGAATCTGTGAACATCTCGAGTACCCGATGACATTGAGACTTGATTATAGACTTAGCAAGTTAATACATTAAAATGTCTTATAAAAAAATTTAACATTTACAGTCTCAAGAAATACCTACTTAACCTACGTACAATATATAGATTTAGCTCTTGCATTATGCATTATTAAATTTGCAAAAATATCAGTACAATAACAACAAAAAAACCAAACCTGAAACACCCATAAAAATGTTTAGAAAATACTACATGATCTTATATTATAATTAGCACAGCCTGAATTTTAACAGTCTACATCATTAATAAATTCGTTATGTGTTTGATAATTTTTGGATCCAGATTTTTTAAAAACAATTTTGGAACCAGTATTACTTTCGATAACTTAAAGCAATGTTGATTTTGTTTATGAATAGTATGGTTTACGGACAATGTAACTGCATCGTGTTAAAAACAAATACTGACTGTCTGATATACAAAGTTGCGTGCAAACTTTTTCCACGGCCAGATTATTTTTTTTATCAACATTAGATCTATCGGTATACTGTCAACGGAAGTTCGCATAAAAAGTGCACTTACCTTCAACTTTACTTTGCTGAATCCAAAATCGTGTGTGTATGTGTGGAATAGCTTTATTTAACTTTAAATCACGGCATCATTTCTTCTTTGGGAAAAATAATAACCTATGCCGCCATTTTAAATCCCAGAATTCCGTACGTTCCGGTCAAACGAACAAACAAAAAATATTTAATAAATAATTGAAGAAATTTAGATAAATAACAACAATAACCGTAACCTATAAAAAAAATATTGTAATGTGAATAGAAATAATATGATATAAACCGATTTAAACACAATCATCAACCGTGAACAGATCGTGACCTTGACCTTGCCCGAGACGATAAAAATATATTTGTACATCTATATAGTTCTGAAAATGGCGGCTGTTCGTTTGAAAGGCCTGTAATATTTCTGATAATGAATCTATTCATATAATTTGTTTGTATACGCTCTACCATATTTTATATGAGGTTACATAATTATGTTATATTAAAAGAATAATCAAATCGGGGAATTTTAATTTTCAGAGATAGGTCTTTTATCGAGAGACGATAAATATATGGACTTATATAGCTAGAGTAGATCTCTATGTTAATTGACTGGGTCATTATTATCTATTTTTCAGATTCATAACTTAAAAAAATGGAACTAGTCTTGGTCCAACCTTTATTTTTATATGGTTTTACAACTTATATAATTAAGTGTTGAACTTTTAAATTCGAAATAAAAAAACGGCACCAATCGACTCATGACCTATTTTATATATTGTATATGTAGACAGCCGCCATTTTAAATGACATTAACAACACACATTGATTTAAGCTATGAGTGAGCTAATGAAGACAGGCATACACTATATACAGTGTACTATGACGGAAACTTTGCACGGATAGCGGCACTATATGGCCTACTCTGATATTGAATTACAACTGTCGGAGTGTCTTTTACGTGCATGCCAATATGTACATGAGGACTTGATTTTTCGTATGACCCGAACAACTATACCTTATCCCTTGCCAGATCCTCCGCCCTGCCACAGTCCATAGAAAATTTCCGTCATAGCACTCTG